AATACTCATGGAAGCAGCAGTCAAGAAATCAAATAATAATGTATTACATTAGGAAAACCTGCTGCAGAAGACCTCATTAAAATGTCCAAGAGTAAAGCTGTCAGTTTGAGGAGTAAAGTGAACCTGATCCAAGCAATGTCCTTTTTAACAGTATCATATGCATGTGATAGTTGGACAATGAATAGGGAAGACCATAGAAGAATTGATGTATTTTAGTTAATGTGTTGGACAAGAATAATAAAAGTACCATGGACTGCTTGAAGAACAAACAAATCTCTGTTGGAATAAGTCCAACTAGAATGCTCTTTACTCCCGTAAGGATTTATACCCTCGGAAACCCTGTACAGGGTCGCTATGGGTCGGAACCGACTCGATGGCACTTAACAACAACAAAGAATGCTCTTTGGAAGCCGGGATGGCGAGACTTCGTCTCTCCTGTTGTTGTTAGGTGCAATTGAGTTGGTACCAATTCATAGCAAACCTATGAACAACAGAACAAAACACTGCTCAGTCTTGAGCCAATCTCACAATTATTGCCACACTTGAGCCCATCGATGCTGCTACTTTGCAAATCTATCTCACTGAGGGTCGTCCTCTTTTTCTGTGACCCTCCACCTTATCAAACATGATATCCTTCTCTAGTTACTGGTCCCTCCTGAAAATATATCCTAAGTATGAGAGATGAAGTCTGGCCATCCTGGCTTGCAAGGAACACTCTGGCTGCACTTCTTGCAACACAGCAGTGTTCTTATGGTGGCCCATGGTATTTTCAATATTCTCCTCCAACATCATAAATCAAATGCATCAATTCTTCTATGGCCTTCCTTATTTACTGTCCAGCTTTTGCATGCTTATGAGGTTATTGAGAATACCATGGCTTGGGTCAATATGTTAGTCCTCAAATTGACATATTTGTACTTCAACACTTTAAAAAGGTCTTGTGCAGCAATTTGTCTACAACAATATGTTTTTTTGATTTCTTGACTGCTGCTTCCATGAGTGTTGATGGATGATCTGAGCAAAATTAAGTCTTTGACAACTTCCATCTTTTATCCATTGATGAGAATGTTGTCCAGTGGTGAGGACTTCTGTTTTTTAACATTGAGATACAATCCATACGGAAGGCTGTGTTCTTTGATTTTCATCAGTAAGAATTTTAAGTCCTGTTCACTTTCAGCAAGCAAAGTTGTATCGTTTGCATATCGCAGTTTGTTAATGTGGAAATCATCAGACAATATCTTTGATATATCATGCAAGTAAAGTTTTACTAAAGGTAATACAGAAACGCTGCACCCTAACATTGACAGAGAACTTCCAGAGGTTCAAGCCAGATTCAGAAGAGAATATGGAACAAGGGATGTCATTCCTGATGTCCGATGGATTTTGGCTGAAAGCAGAGAATACTAGAAAGATGTTTACTTGTGCTTTATTGACTATGCAAAGGCTTTTGATTGTGATGATCATGACAAGCTTTGGATAACATTGTGAAGTGTAAGTATTCCGGAACACTTAATTGTGCTCATGAGGAACCTATACATGGACCAAGAGGCAGTTGTTTCAACAGAACATGGGAACACTGAATGGTTTAAAATCAAGAAAGGTATGCGACAAAGTTGTATTCTTTCACCATATTTATTCAACTTACATGCAAGCAAATAATTGTCTCTCATATTTTGGTTACATTATTAGGAAGGACCAGTCCATGGAGAAGGATATCATATCATGCTAGGTAAAGTGGAATGGCAGCATAAAAGAGGAAGACTCCCAACAACATGGATTGACACAGTGTTAGCAGCAGTAGTTTCATGCTTAACAATGATTATGATGATGGCACAGCACCAGGCAGTGTTTCATTCTGTTGTGCATAAGGTCACTATGACTCAGAATCGACTCAATGACACTAACAACAACAACCCTTAGTTAAAAAATACACTTATCACTTAAGAATGTCTTTGATTAATTAGTAAAAATATTAATGTTCTAAAATGCTAGTGCTTGAGTACCAGTCTTTTCAATATTCCCTATCATGATTGGAAGACAACTATCTGGCCGACTGATTGGAAGAGATCC